TTACGATATTGTTATTAACAACGTTGGTCAGAAAATAACAACATCATAATCAGGTCAAAATCTCTTTTTCTTCAATTAAATATCACATTGGTTCAAAATAACTGGAGAATAAACAATTTCTTTAACAGCCAAAAAACTTTCTTTTTCTCCAGTTAAATTTCACATTGGTTCAAAATAACTGGAGAATAAACAATTTCTTTAGCAGCGGAAAACGTATACTCATTTCTTGAATTTTACCCACAGGGAAAAATTACTTTTTCTATTTTCTTTAAGCCATTAATCAATTTCCAGAAAATAAACATTTACTAGAAAAAGAAAAACGAAAAATTATCACTGTTCTTTTGGCCTGGCCAGCAAAATAGCCCAGCCCAGCTTCTCTCCGTGCGCGCTGCCCGCACCCAGGCCACAACCTGGGCCTGGGCCAGCTAAGCCGCGCGGTGCGCTCGCCCACCTGGGCCGCGAGTCGGCCCGATCAACCGGCGCCGTTCATTTCGATCCGACGACTGTGCGGTGAGATCGGCCGATCAAAAAGGGCGACGAGGGCCCTCCCCCGAAAACCCTCATTCATTCGCTGCCTTCCCTTTCTCTCTCTTCGCTCTCTCTTCTCAGCGCAGCATGCACAACCGAGCGAGCAACCGAGAGGACGCAGTGAGCGAGCGGGTAGCCATGGCGCCGTCGCCGGCCCCCTCGCCGGCGTGCGCGCTCCCATCGGGTGAGTGCGCCGCCGTCGAGCGGCCTAGCCGCGGCGCCCCCTTGGCCGAGCCCGGTGAGCAGCTGCCCCCGGCTCGGCCCTTCTTCTCCCGCGTCGGCGAAGGGTCATCCCGACGCACGGCGAGGTAGGTCCGTTCCCCTTTTCCCTTCTCCGATTTGGATTTCTTTTCTCTTCTTCCTTTTCTTCTTTGGATCTCTTTTGGTGCTCGGATTGAACCGATTTGGGATGGGGATGGAAGTTAGGGTTAGGGTTTTACTGTTTCTCTTCCCCGTTGAAGACTTTTACGGGTTTAGGGTTCGGCCTCGTGTGCCGAGGGCCCTTCCTTTTCTTCTTCTTTCTTTGGTTTTCCTTTCTTTTCTTCTCGGATTCAACCGATTTGGGGATCTAGGGTTAGGGTTTTTGTTCGATTCGGTTCATCTCATTTATTTGATTCTTTTCTTTCTTCTCTATTTGTACCGAATCATTCTCTTCCCTTCCTCGTCATGAGTTAGGGTTAGGGTTCTTTTCTCTATTCCTTTCTCTTTTCCCCTTCTTTTCTTTTGGATCCTTTTCTGGATTTTCTTCTCAGATCTGAACGGAGGACTATTCTTTTTGGCAACTTTCCCCACGCAGTGGCGGTGGTGACTAGGAGTTTAGGGACATCCGCCACCCCCCAGTCTTTTTTCTCTTTTCTTTTACCCAGTTAGGGTTAGGGTTTCAATCCGAAACGGATTTAACCCTTGTTCTTTATTTTCTATGCTCTTCCCCATACTGTAAACCGGCTCCGATACCGTTGTTAGAATCATAGTGTACCTCTGTAACCGTAGATCCGGGGTAAGCCTCCTCGCCTTTGCATAGTTGCACCGCAGCGGGGTAGACGCCGGTGCCGTGGGGTTGTTGGCATCGTGGTGGCGATCCAGTGGACCGGTGGTGACGCTGCAAGGGCGATGGCGGTGCAGTGGGGCATCCCGTCGCTGGCAGCACTCCTTTAGATCGGATTAGGTTTCTCTGTGGTGGGATTGCGGCGGCTCCAGTCAACTTCGTTAGTTGAGCCCAGTTCCCCACTCCTCTATCTATAGTGTTGTGCGACAGGGGCTCACCAACCACATTAGGGTTGGGCGCCCCCGATCAGGGCGCAGATCTAAGGGCCCAATAGGCCGTTGGGCCTATTGGTGGAGATCAACTAACAGGTCGGCCCCGTGGTGGAGCCCTCCGAGCTCGCCGTCAGACAGAACGCCGAGGGCCTCGCGCGGTACGCGCTGATCTGCCAGGAGTTCGGGCTCGTGCCCATTGTCAAGCCCGAGATCCTCACCGACGGCGGCCACGACATCAAGACCTGCGCCGCCGCCACGGGGCGCATCCTCGCCGCCGTCTACAAGTCGCTCACCGACCACAAGTGTGTTTGTGTACTAAATTCTCTTCCCTTCGTCCGGCTCCTATTTGAGCCAAAAAAACACGTTGTTCTATTGCAACTCGCAATGTACAGTAGTATTACTGGAAGATAAGTGCAATATATGGATGTGACCATCTTACTGAAGCTTTGATTCATGGGCTCATTTAGCCATCCCATCCATCTGATTTCTAATCCTTGTAAGCGAATCAGTTCTCTTTCCATTGACTTGAGCATTCTCTTGTGAGTTCTCAAAGATGCACAAAGACATACTAGCCATCCCAAGAATCTGATTGCTTTAGCATCGAAAATTGCCCACTCATGTTGGAGCTAGATTACCCTAGGAGTTTTGTGCAGCAGAATTCGGGGCCTTCTTCTGTTGCATTGTTCCAAGAATCATTATGTGCATCATTTTTCTGGATTGTCACATTACTCCATGAATGCTGCTGTGAATCAGGATCATTTATAGCTACTAGTTTTTCCCATGAACCATCTTGAGTATTGTTATTTTGCGAGTTGCACTGTTAACCCAGGAATCCTATAGTGCATCAGTGCCCCTTCTACCTTTTCAGTTTCATTATTAGGTAGCTATTTCAATGCTTCACCTCCCATTATTGGTATGTATTTCAGTGTTTTGGTGATTTCTTCTTTTTTCAGTTTTATTAGTGGTTCAGTTTCATCATTTTGCTTTGAGTTTTCTTTTTAGTTTGATTTCAGTTTTTAGTTATTTTTTCAGTTTTTTTAGTTTAGTTTTCGGTTTAGTTTTTTTAATTTTTTTAGTTTCAGTTTTCCGTCACCTTTTCATGTACGAATGTCATTCTAAATCCTGTTGTTAGTTGCATCACCTACAATGTATAAGTTGTTACAAAAGGATAGCAACTGCATAGATAAGTTGACACAAAAGAATTTAACCCTAGTTTAAGTTTTCAGTCAAGTTTTTTTTTAGTTCCAGTTATCAGTCATGTTTTTTAATATCTTTTTATTTTTAGTTTTCAATCAATTATTTTTTTTAGTTTTTTTAGTTTGTTTTCAGTCAAGTTTTTTTTAGTTTCAGATTTCAGTTCGAATGAATTCCTAAATCCTATATATTAGTTGCCTCACCTACAATGTATAAGTTATTATAAAAAAGTAGCCATTGCACACATAAGTTGCCACAAAAGAATTTGCTCCCATTCTTAGTTTTCAGTCAAGTTTTTTTCATATTTTTTTTTGTTTTAGTTTTCAGTATTATTTTTTAATGTTTTTTTAGTTTCAGGATTCACTCACCCTTTTAGATTCGAATGTATTCATAAATCCTACATATTAGTTGTATAATAACTTACTCTCTAAGTTAGCACCTTATACAATGCTTCTTCTAATAATTTGTCTCTTAGGGTGCCACTTATCTTATTTTGTGTTGCTACTCTTGTTTTTTAATAAATGTCCCTCTAATTTTAACTAGTCATGTTTCTCGGCTTATATAGTGGGTTTTATAATAACTTACCCCTCTAGTTGGCAATTTATGCAATGTTTGTTCTAATAATTTGCCTCAGGTTGCAGCTTGTTTTTTATCACTACCCTCATGTTTCCCGACTTATATAGTGAGTTTTACAATAACTTGTTCATCTAGTTAGCAGCTTATACAATGCTTGTTCTAATAATTTGTCCCCAGCTTGCCACTTGTCTTATTTTATATCGCATTATCGCTACCCTTATATTTTAATAAATCCTCAAGTTGGCAGCAAGTCAGGTTTCCTGGCTTTTTGTAATGTGTTTTATAATAACTTGCCCCCTAATTAGCAGCTTATGCCATGTTTATTTTAATAAGTTCCCCCGAGGTTACAGCTTGTCTTGTCCGTTACTTTCTTTAAGGATTAGTACCTTTATATAAATACTATATAACAAATTTATTATATTCCCATGGTAGCAATCGATGTGCATACCATGTAAAAACTTTAGTTTATTTTTGAAGTAGCAAGTTTAGTTTACATGGTAGCAACTTCTTTCATAAATCTCCTAGCATATTTTTACGGATATATTGCTACTAAATTAAAATTTCTTTGAAACATAGTCAAGAGGTTTAGTTTTGTTTGCCTCGTCACATAGAACATACCAATGCATACGGTTTGAAAACGGATACACATTTTAAAAGTTATAGCTTTTTAAAAATGTTAGTTTTTTGAAAACGTGCAAGTGACTGCTGGAGCATCAGCCGTAATCACTCTTTTGCAAACGCTGGGCTCGCGGCCGGAGACGGAGTAGGGTCGCGCTCTTGACGTTTGGGCGACCCGTCGCGGCTTATTGCAGTCCATGGAGAATTGGAGACGATGCAAGCTATAGAAACCATGTAAAAACTTTTGTATATTTTCGAAGTAGCAGTTTTAGAATTATATGGTAGTAACTCTTATATAAATCTCGTAGCACACATTTACACATAAATTGTTACTAAAATAAAATTCTTCGAAACATATGCAAGTGGGTCTAGTTTTGTTCGTCTCATCACGTAGAATACACCGGTGCAAACGAAATTGAAAACAGATACAACATTCAAAAGTTATAGCAATTCAAAGAAAATGTTTTCGTTTTTTTTTTTGGTTTGCGTCAGCAGCATGACATGCAGAGTAGCAGGGCTGGTCGGACGCCATTTAAAGTGTAAATTCGTTGTGGCCAGCTCGTAAGGTTAGCATGTCCATGGTAGCAAAAAAAATTTACCCGTCTGATTCGTGATCTGCGGTTCTTGTGCCGTTTTGCCCGTCTGCCCAAAACCGTTGTTCAGCGAACCGGCTGTGCGGTCAGCGGCTAGTCCGTTGTCGTCGCCAGATTGGGTGCCTCAGGCCGCTGTCGTGTGCTCATTGGCGAGAAGGCGCTGGGTCCATCTGCCGGTTGCCTGCGCGCGCCTGCCGCTGCAGTTGCTGCTACGCTGCGAGTCGGCCCCACGGCATGGCCTCCGCACGTCAGTTGGGCCTCCACGGTACGGACCTTGCACGGGGCTCTTTTTCGTTGTCGTCTGCTTATTGGCTTAGCACTAGGTGATCCACTGGTCAGCTTCTTAGATCATGTGCCGGGTTTCTCGGTACTTTTGGGCTGGGTTCGGTGGGACTGGGAATATGCAGCGGCGCTTGCGATTGTCGACCCTGTGCCACTGCCGGTGGGGCCGGCTTCCTTCGCATGCAGCGTCTCCTGCTTCCTCCTCCTTCGCACGGCTCCGAACTCCACAGCGTCTCCCAGCCCGCTCCGAAGGGACGAACGGCGACGATAAAAGAGCTCCTCAGCCTCCATTCTTGATTTCCGCTCCGAACTCTGCCGTTTGCCTCAGGTGTGGGACTCGCCGTCTTTCCCTTTCCTCCTCCTCCTCTATTCTACCGGCGGAACCATCTAATCCGGTGGGTACCCGGCGCCGCCGCTGTGCCGTGTGGTGCCGCCGCACTGCGTATGATTTGCAGGTGCTTGGGGCCAGATCCAGATCCACCGGCGGGGTGCTGATGAGGCAGAGCGCAGCGGCACTGGGAGCGGGCTGCTGACGAGGTCTTGGGGCGTGCGGCTGCCAGGTGGGAGCGCCACCGGCGACTGGGCGACAACAGGCTGCGTCCTCGGTGTGTTGGTATACCCCTTTTCCGCACTCTCGCCTGTACCTTTCTTCCTTGATTCGTTTGTCGCTTTCAATGGCCGAAATGCTTACATGTTGCGCCGTGTGGTCTTGTGGTCGGTGTGTTTTCTTTTTTTCCTCCTTTCCGATTCTTGTTTGCTGTTTCCCGTGCTCGGGTTCACAGAGGGAAGACGGATCAATATTCGTTGTGGGTGCGTCCTACCTGTCGCTGCTGCAGGGTGTGGTGGTCCGGTGTGGCTTGCCGTATGCAGCAATGGTTACTGAGTTTACTGGAGATGGAACGCCACTGTACGGCGTCGAGCTAGATTTACCTTGTGTTGGCCCGGTCCGGCGCTGTCGTAGCTTTTTCTTCTGGGCGTCCATGGAAGATTGTTGCGCTTCTGGTTATGAGCAGGCTGCCCTGCAGGCCATAGGTTTCCTGCAGAAGATGTACGGGTTCTTTTGGAGCTTGCCATAGGCCATAGAGCTCTTTTGGAGCTTTCCTTTTCTTAACAGCCAGGTGCTGCAGTTTGTCACATGATCGGCCTTCTCTGACGTTTGCTGTAGTTGGTCCCAGATGGCGAGTCGTCGTGCACGTCCTGCATCTCGCCTTGTTCCTGGAGAGTCGTGTATGTGTCTGTGCTGCTCTTTTGGTAATCTTCACGGTTATAGCCCATTGGTCAGACCATTGAAGCATCTCTTATTTGTTTCGTTGCTTTTGACCTCCCTAGCTTCTTCACGGATAACTGCCCCTTCGAGCTCTGCTCCCCGCAAGAGACAGTGTACGTGTTTCTTGCCGTGCTTCCCGTGTTCTATTTAGTCTACAGTCATGTTGGTCTTGGATACTTAAGTGTCACTTTCCTATAGCGGAGGGTGCATACTATATACCCAGCACGCTCCCAGCTGCTGAGTGTCGGAATAAGCGGAGGAAGTATTTAAACCAGAAGAAGATTGCCAAGTCAGGTGTTCACTCTTTAGGTCGCCATCCTACCTGGTTTCTCTTTAGATACACCCGTACTGATGTGCCTGCTATGTTGGCCTGGTTTTGCTTTATTAGGCCCTTTAGATGGCGCTGGTGCATCCGGGTGTGGTCACTTCACCCAAGAGTATATTGATGCGCTTAAAGGTTTGGCTTAAATTTTTTTTGCTAGGTTCACTGTTGTTTTTCTAGGTTACTAAATGCCATCCTCTCGCTGATTTTGTGTCTATTTTCATGTCCTTCGTGCTCGCGGATGCTTTGGGGTGGCCCACGCCTGTGCCTAGATTCCTATGTCGGTCGTTCGTCTTATGGGGCGCCAGATTATACGTGTAGACACTGTGGTGCCATGTTTTGGTTGCGTGAGTGTGCTGCTGCTCAGTCCAGTTTAAGAGATGGCAGGGTCATCTACAATTCATGTTGTAGGGGTGGCAAAGTAGTAATACCTCCTTTTAGAGACCCTCCTGAACCCATTGCTTCGCTGGCCAGATTTGATGGTGATGCTAATTGTAGACAGTTCATAAAGAATATACGCCAGTACAATTGCCTGTTTGCTTTCACATCCATGGGTGCAAACATTGATAGATCTATGAATAATGGTCGTGGCCCTCCTGTGTTCAAAGTGTCTGGCCAGGTTCATCATCGTATAGGACCTCTTCTTCCAGCCAATGGCAACTCACCGAAATTCTTGCAGCTCTATATATATGATACAGCGAACGAGGTGAAGAATAGGTTCCATGCGCTGCACCCAGATGAACGCTCGTCTGAGTCTCTCGACCCAAAGATAGCTGAACGTTTGGTCAAGATGCTAGATGACCACAACCCATTGGCTAGACAGTTTAGGCTGGCAAGAGATAGATTGGCAGAAAATGGTGATGAAGAGTTCATAGTAAGACTTATTGGTGCAAGGGAGGGGGATCCAGTTCAGTATAATCTTCCTACTGTTGACCAGCTTGCCATGCTTGTTGTGGGTGATTTTACGCTAGATACTTTTCAGCGTGATATTGTGGTGCAGCCTAGATCCGGACATTTAGAGCATATTTCTTCTTTGCATCCTGCTTTCATGGCCCTACAGTACCCCCTGCTCTTTCCTTATGGTGAGCGTGGTTTCCAGGTCGGTGTGCCTTATAGTGGGGTAGATACATCGGGCGAGAACAAGCGTGCCAAAGTAACGATGCAAGATTACTACCGCCATTGTTTCCACTATAGAAAAGGCCAGTCGAATCCGTTCTTGTGCTATGGTGCCTTGTCCACTCAGGCCAAGGTTGATGCACGTGCATGTATCGATGAAAATAGACTCTGGTATGTGCTCAGGAATCAGGGAAAGCTGCGTGTAGAGACTCTTCAGGGCATAGTCGATGCGGTTGATAAAGGATGTGTAGATGGAGGCGAGATTGGAAAAAAAAACTGTGCTGCCGGCCTCCCATACTGGTGGCCGGCGGTATATGATCCAAAATTATCATGATGGAATTGCTATCTGTAGAGTTCATGGCCCGCCTGATTTCTTTGTGACATTCACCTGTAATCCAAAGTGGCCAGAGATTGATGCGGCGCTGTCATTTGAACCTGGCCAGAAATCAACTGATAGAGCAGATATAGTGGTTAGGGTCTACAATATGAAGCTTGAGGAGCTTCTAGGTGATATACGAGATGGCACCGCCTTTGGGCCTGTCAGTGCTGGTACGTTGTGCAGTTGGGTACATTTTCCTTTCTTTTTTGGCCACGGTTAGATATCTTTGTTTTTTATGACTGTTCTTCTCATTTGTTTGTTTAGTGCTGCACACTGTGGAATTCCAGAAGCATGGCCTCCCACATGCTCATATAATTGTTTGGCTCAAACAAGATACCTCACACCCAACGCCTGCATTCATAGATAAATTCATAAGTGCTGAGGTTCCTGACCCACATACAGACCCTCTTGGTTATGTACTGGTGGCTGAGCATTTGGTGCATGGTCCCTGTGGCGCAAGCCACCCCACCTGTCCATGTATGAAAAAAGATAAATGTTCAAAACGGTTTCCAAAAAAATACCAAACTGAAACGGTAATTGATGATAATGGCTTCGCTCTGTATAGGAGATCTGACAACAGGAGATATGTTGAAAAAGGTGGCAAAAGGCTAGATAGCAGTTCCATTGTTCCATACAATATGACCTTGCTTAAAAAGTACCAGGCCCATATCAATGTAGAGTGGTGTAACAAGGGCATTTTCATTAAATACCTATTCAAATATGTTACTAAAGGTCCTGACCGTGGCAAGGTTTATATACAGAGAATACGGAGCGGTGAACCAGCGCCCTATGATGAACAAACCAAAACGATTAATGAGGTTCAGGAGTACCTAGATTGTAGATATATATGCGAGTAGGATGCCTGTTGGCGAATTTTTGGTTTCGATATACATAGACACTACCCGGCTGTAGAAAGGTTGCCTGTGCATCTTCCAAATGACAACTGCATTGTTTATGATGAATCCACTGATATAACTGATGTTGCCAGATTAGAATTTCTTCGTAAAACAATGTTAACTGAATGGTTTGTGGCCAACCAACAAAGCGATGCTGGTAGAGACCTCACATATTGTGAGTTCCCTTCGCGTTGGAAATGGGATAGCTCTTCTAGATTCTGGGATCAGAGGCGACGAGGTTCTGGTAAGATAGGGAGGTTATACTATGTACACCCTTCAGTTGGTGAGAGATATTTCCTTAGAATGTTGCTCCTCGTGGTCAAAGGCGCTAGAAGTTTCGAAGAGGTTAGAACATACAATGGCGTTGTCTACTCTACGTTTAGATTGGCGTGTAATGCTCGTGGCCTACTTGGTGATGATCAGGAATGGTATAGTGCCTTTGACGAGGCCGCTGCTTGGGCAACATCACCACAGCTTAGAAAACTGTTTGTTACTATGCTGTTGTTTTGTGAGGTCAAGGATGAACGTGCCTTCTTTGAAAAAGTTTGGAAAGTCCTAGCTGACGATATACAGTACCGTCTTAGAGACAATATGGGTAATCCTGAATTCCATGTGTGTGATGAGGACCTTACAAACTACCTGCTTGATGATATTCATGCTCTTTTCCAGAGAAACAGGGCTAAAATGCGGGAACATGCTTTGCCTGAGAAAACTAAAAACTTTGAAGATATTCCTGGTAATAGACTCATCGAAGAGGCCCTGTCATATGATAGTCATCAGGCAATGCGTGACGCTGAAAATTTGGTTGGCAAGCTAAACACAGAACAGCTTAATGCATTTACTGTAATCACCAAAGCTGCTTTAGATAATGAACCAGGGTTTTTCTTTGTATCTGGCTACGGGGGGACTGGAAAAACTTTTCTGTGGCAATCCATAGTTGCTTATATGCGATCTCAACAAAAGATTGTGCTATCTGTTGCTTCATCCGGAGTCGCTTCATTGTTGTTGCCTGCGGGTAGGACTGCTCATTCACGATTCAAGCTGCCATGTGATCTAGATGAAGCTTCGGTCTGTGATATAAAACGTGGCTCTAAGTTGTGCGAGTTGATTGAATCTGCATCTCTTATCATTTGGGATGAGGCTCTAATGACACATAGGCATGCATTTGAAGCTCTAGATAGAACATTTAGAGACATCTTGTCACACCGCACAGAAGGTGCTGCGAATTTAGTTTTCGGTGGCAAGATTGTTGTTCTAGGTGGTGATCTCCGCCAAATTCTGCCTGTGGTTCCAGGTGGTGATAGACCCTAGATTGTCAATGCTGCGATAGTAAACTCTTCTCTATGGAAACATGTTAAGATTTTGTCACTTACTACAATATGAGGCTCAATAGACAAGACCTGGGCAGCGAGTTGCAGAAAGAGATTGCTGAGTTTAGCAAATGGGTGCTAGATATTGGTGAGGGCAAGATTGAGAGTTTAGGCACTAGTAGTGAGACCCAGGGAACACGAATTAAAATTCCGCGTGAGCTGCTGCTCATGCCACAAGAAGATAAGGCCGCCTTTATGGTTAGTTCCATCTACCCAGGTCTAGGTGCCAAGTATGCTGATGCATACTACCTCCAGGCGCAGGGCCATCTTGACCCCAACAAACGAAGCTGCAGATACTATTAACTCATACGTGGTGTCCCTGATACCTGGGGAAGAGAAGGAGTACCTAAGCTGTGATAGAATTGCTAAATCCCCAGATACCCATGACTCTTTTAATCTGTTGTATCCTACTGAATTTCTAAATTCAATAAATGGAAACAATTTCCCACAGCACCGCCTCTGTCTTAAAAAAGGTGTGCCAATAATGATGCTTAGAAACCTTGATCAAGCAGGTGGTCTATGTAACGGCACAAGACTGATTGTCACAAATATAGGTGAGATGTTAATAGAAGCAAAGATAATGACCGGCACACATATTGGTGACATAGTACACATACCAAGAATTTGTCTAACACTTAAAATATGAGACTGCCATTTACTTTGGAAAGACCCCAGTTCCCAGTCAAAGTCTGTTATGCCATGACCATTAACAAGAGTCAAGGCCAAACCTTAGAACATGTTGGCGTATACTTAAAAGGTCCTGTTTTCAGTCATGGCCAGCTATATGTTGCTGTTTCATGCGTCACTTCAAAGCGAGGCCTTAAGATACTCATAGAAGGTGCAGATGGTGGTTGTACAGATGAGACACAGAATATTGTTTACCAAGAAATACTCTCCGCGGCGTATCGAGCCGCGGACAAATCTTAGTTCCCTTTCTTTTGCTGTGTTAGGACACCTTTTGCATTGAGTGTCCACACTGGTTTTGGGTCATTTTGCTTCGGTGTGTTCTGACAGCTTTCGTATTGGCTGTAACCATGATTTTACAGTTAGCTTCACTGAAGTGTGTGTCCAACGGGGACAGTCCACCTAAATAACCAGCAAGCACCATCCATCTAATAATGGTGTTAGTGTTTAGACTCTTTTGTGTGTTTTTCCCTATTTTGCGTGTGTTTTATCACTGAATGTTCACAGAACTCTGTGCACTATCGGTTTACATACATCCTATAAAATGGATTCCTAGATGTTCTCAGTTTTTGTGGTTGTTTTTTTATCTTTCCTTAGTTTCATTACAAGATTATAACCTGTTGCTTCTGTTTACTGATAAAATGATTCTCTGTAGCTTCGACCGATGGCTTTTTCGATGCTGCCCACCTTGCGCCCTAATGACTGGCGTGCGGTCATCTGTGTCCGTGTCTGCCGCAAGTGGGAGTATCGCGGTGGGACCGATGATGGTCCGGTACAGCACGTGGACCTTGTGCTTCTTGATGAACAGGTTGGTCAGTCTATCATTGGTGAAGGTCGGCTCCCAAGCAATTTTTACTGGTCCATGTATCTCTCCATTTATTTATGCTGGTTTCCTTTTTTCCACTATAGGGCAACAGTCTCTATGGTGAAATCCCTGGACCTGAGGTTCATGCAAAGAGCCCGCTCATAGATGAGGGGGGCATCTATGTGATTGATCGATTTAGGGTCTCCAATGCGAAGGCAGCCTACAGGCCTATTGACGCCCCCTACATGGTTGAGTTCACACTGCACACCACTGTGTCAGCTGCAAGAAGTGGCATGCCTGACTTCCCAAAATATGCATACAAGATCACTCCTATAGATGGCCTTGCTGTTCATTCTGGTGACACTAAGAACTTCCATGGTGAGTTATACCTATATAAACTCTGTGATTTTAATTCAGTTTTCCTTTGTGAGTTCATATCTATACAGACTCTGTGATTTGAATTCAATGTTGTCTAATATAACTGTACTTTCCCTAATATTGTTGCAGATACCATTGGAACACTGGTGGAGGTATCTGACATCCACACTGTGCATCTGCCTAACAAACCTGCGCCCACGCTCTCCAGGCACATTGTTCTTAGGGACCTTAGGTGACACATTGTGCTCTCCATGCCTACCCTTTCCATGGCACGACTACACATTTCCTAATTCTCTTACTTAAACCATTGTGCTCTCAATTTCAGCTATTCTGAGATAAAGATCACTCTGTGGGGCCAAAGAGCCACTACGTTCTCTACTGAGGGTGTCTACGACAGCAATGAAGCCAAGCCAATCGTTGTCCTGTTTGTCGGAGGACTGGTGAAATCTTTCCAAGGTATTAGCACTGTTCTATTTCTTCTGTGGTCCAGTACATGCTGAGTAGTAGTATGCACTCCTCTATTGATTCCCAAGAGTCTGAACATCATATCCATGAAATTCAGGCAGCTACTACCTAAGTGGCAATACAGCATGCCATTGGTATTTCAATCCAATGATTCCAGAGGCGCACCAGTTCTATGCGAGGTACATTCTGTTACCCAAATACAGCTCATGACCCTTCCTTTACTTGGCGCTTTGCCAACTTTACCTAATGTGTCGTCTCCACCCAGTTTCCACAACCAGAGGCTTGAGATAAGGTCAGTTGCAGCACCAGTGCAACAGCAGATCCAAGTCCGTGTACCAGCACAGCTTGATGAGAAGAACCTAAAATAGCTAAACGACATGAACCCATATGAATTCTCTATAAGAAGCAACCTCATTTCATTCTGATTTTACCATGGCCACTTTTCCCTTCTACCCATTTTACATTCCTCTCCCCAACATTACAGGAAAATCGATACCGCTGCACTGTCACTATTGGACGCCTTGTTCCCAACACATCATGGTGGTTTCCATCTTGCAACAAATGCAGCAAGTCCTATGTGCCAGATGGTACTGGATATAGATGCATTCCATGCTCAAACACATCGTTCAAGTTCAAGTAAGTGCTTCTTCCACTGTTTGCTTGCTTCCCAATCTCATAGTAGGATACACCTACATACTGAATGCAAACTGACAACAGGTACAAGGTGTGTTTCATAGCCCTCGATGGCACTGATGAAGCTGAGATGGTTTGCTTTGGAGACATTGCTCGTCGTATGATTGGAAAGCTTGTCCAGCAGCTTCTGAGGACATCTACAAGTGCTAATGCATATCCACCTGATATAACAAAGCTGGTCTCTCCTAGATTCACTTTCGTAGTTACAATGACCCGTCAGAGCTACTACAGGGCCCAGAAGACCTACAATGTTGCATCTCTGGTGACAGCACATGGCCATCCTGTTGCTGTTCCGGCTAATGCTGCACGTGGTAATGCTGGAAACAAAGACCATGGCCATCTTGGTGCCGCTGAATCTGGTGATTCCTCGGGTACAAGTGATGGTGCAGATACACATCAGCTGTTGTCTGCTGGTACACTGGATGGCACTCTGTCTTCACCAGGCCCTTTAAACATATGTTTCTTCTAACACCTAGATTTAGTGGCGCTGTTTCAAGGCTTTTGTGTGCGATGATCACAATCCTTGCTTCCTGCAGGCTCCACCGCCCAAGCTTGATGGCCTTGAAACACCGGCGTCGAAGAAACATTCTAGAAGGTAATATATTTGCTCTGTGCCTCTCCAACACATTCACCATATGTCTGTTCATCTGTGTTTGATTGCTCCTCATCCACAGTGGCCCATCCAAGAGCAGCAACCATCCTTCCTCTCGCCGTAGGCTTTTCAAAGAGGGTACTGGTGCTGACATTGCTGATCCAGACGGTGCAGGCGCAAGGTATGTAGTCATCATGCTCTTGTAGTCTAGGCCAACTGCTAGCTTTCAGAACATCTCATGGCTCAAATGTGATTCACTATTCCTTGTTGTTAGCCATTTCTTCATGATTTAGAAAAAATCGTACCTCCTTTTTTTAAATGAACTTTATCATACATATAAAATCAAAGGCACCATTCAATTGTTACACAAGGCTAAACAATGTGATAATGCTGTACACCTCTCTTCAGAAGAACTAATTCTTTGCCTCTGATGCAAAGTCATCTCAACAAATATGGAAAAGATGAGATTATAACCCATGCCATCTCCTGTGTGCCTTCTTACAGCGCTGCGTCTGACAAGACTCAGGCTCCTGAAGAGGACCGCTCCTCTGGGGAACCTTCTACCGCTGAGGAGAGCGGCTAGATAAGGCATGCCCCCTAACTTCAAACCTGACTCTTCCCTGGAATCGATAGATTTTGCAAATTAAGAAAGATCCATTATTGTCCGCAGGTACATTCAACGGCTCCCATGCTTTTGGTTGGACTGGCTCACTAACACCTGTCGTCCAGAGAAGACTTCTGCCTATTTTTTTGGTGGCGTGGTATCCTCTGCAACGGAAATTAACCCGTCATTCTCTGTCTGTTAGCTTGGCCCCTGTATCGGCCCCCAGGCAGCAACAACTTCTTTTAATAGACCCTTGAATTGGGCATGAGTATGTAAACTCTTTAGTTTATTAGTGGCCCTCTCGCTGGCCTCGTGCATGTTCCCTGGTTATGTCGTGGTTCCACGGGCATGCACCTCGAAACAATTAGCGTCGCCGAATCGACAATAGGAAGGCTGTGTCCTTGCTTAGCTCCCTGGTCAAACTGATGTAGCCTAAATTTGGTGTCCTGTTTAGACTCTTTAGTGCAGCGAGAAACTGCTCCTATATGTTACTCTATCTGTTTCTGTGCTGAATTTGTTGTGGTCTCCAATATATAGCAACCTATATCATGATAGACAGTATCCTACATGAGCTAGGCGACGTTCTAGGCATCTGATCGAATATTGGCATGTTGAGCCTGCTAATGTATTGTCTTCCTCGTTTTTAGCTGTGATCTTCAAACAATACTGCAAAAAGCCAACATAAACATGTATTTTCATCCGTGCCAAACGGAATGCATTGTCCCTGCCGTGTACCAATTAAAAAAAAGATTCATCCCTCCGTGAATGCCTCCAGTATGGCTGCCAATCCACCGCTGCCCATTCTGGCAAACTGAACATCTATGTAGCCTCCTGTAATATTTAGTTCTTATCTGGACATCTGGTACCTACGTTGCCTCCCTGTTGTAAACTTTAGCTCATATCTGGACATCTAATATCTATATATATTGCGCTTTCTTGATGGATGCTGCTGTGGCTAGCTGATACAACTGATAGAACACATCTTTAGAGAAGACGATACCTACATAATGTTCGTTTATTTTATTCTGACCAGTGATTTTAGCTCATACTTAAGATGTGTTCAAACGTCTATTCCAAATTGGTTTCAAAATAAAAGACCAAAAAAAAACTATCCGTCCTGTTTTCGGCCCAAGGCCCACTCTCCCTCGGTCTTCCGTCCCGTTGTCACCCACCTACTGCTCGCGAGGCTGAGTCGTCCTCTGGCCGACAACCTTACCCGCCCAAAGACGTATAATATATGCTCATTGTTGTGTTCTTCATCATTTGTTTCTAAGAAAACAGTATCTCATCATCATTGATAATTACAATTTGTCGGTTAGGTGACTCAATTTTAGTTAGGCGCCTATAATATTTGTTATTTGTCAGCATTATGCCATTTCCCAGATAGATTTTTGGCCATTTCTCGCACGCATGGGCGCGCGCAAATCACTAGTGCATCACTCAAGTGGAAGTGAGGAACACCCATGAGGCTCTCATTCGCGCGCACAGGCGTAGCACAGGCTGGGGGACCTGTGGTCGCGTGCTACGTCTGTGCGCGACGGGTCATGCCTTATCGACGTCCTTGGGGCCTTGTTGTCAAGACTTATTGGAGCATGACAGCATGTACATCTGTTACTCTTTGAATGTGTGCTAAGCTATTTGTCTATTTTATCCGTTGGCACGTTCTGTATGAAGCTTTATTAAGCACTAAAAAGGTAAATTAAAATGTTTAACTTTTGTTACTAAAACGGTATCACACTGCTACACCATTAGAAATCTTTACCACACCGAAGATGCCACCATATATAGGCACATATAAAGCCGCACGTCCCTATATGATGGCAGCTACGTCAAATCATAAACCTACATATCGGCACACAAGTGGATATTAAGGAAGAAAGGTGGCAATGCTGACTCCATTTTTGGATAATAATAGAAAAAAAAAATTCAGCTAGTTCTTTCCAAGAGGAATAGGCTATTACGGGCCAACTCTACAAAAACACCAACGCAACCAACTGCGGCCCATGCGGCCCTTGCTGCTTGTGCTGCAGCCATGCATGAAACTTACTCCCTTCATTTCAAATTATAAAACGGTTTACATTTTCTAGATATATTGTTTTTAGGAAAAATTGGCTAGTGAACACTGAAAAGTGGAGGTCGTTTCTTTGGCACACACCCCAAAGTGGAGCCATTTACTTGGAAGACACTCTCGTTCTTGATAATTATGCTCTTTGGACACCGTGTTCCTTTATTTTATTCATTTGCAGCGGTTGAAGTGAGGATTTTTTTTATTTTTAACACCTATTGTAAACTATTTCCAAATCTGACACCGATTTTTTTTATTTTCAAATCAAACACTTTTGGCCGCGCCTATTGCCACGGCGCGAGCAAACAACGCTGCCGCGCCGCGATGACGTGGCACTTCCCCGCGCCATGGCCGCTAACGTGGTAGAAAGCTGCGCATGGCTTACATCTTAACGCAGCGATGCACAAGCGCATGGCAGCGAACCCTACATAGGACCGCGGCCCCGACTCCCTCTCCTCACTGTCTCTGTCACACTCGAGCGAAATGGATCGTGGGAGAGACGCGCCCACCGCCGCTGGCACCACCGAGGCCAGCACCCGCGCCTCTCCCCCCGCGACCACCCGCCTCCCTCTCTCCCAATTCCTCCCTCTCTAGGCAGCTCCAGAGCGCGGTGCTGCGTCGCCGCCATAGCAGGCGACCCCTTCCCCATCATCCTTGTCCTCGTCCCCATCATCGCCAACCAACACAATCGAAGATTAGGCGGTGCGACCAGCTCATGTTACATGCTCATCTAACTTCTTTTCCTCATACCTTCCATAGGCCACCTCTGTGGCATGGTCCTCATTGCATCAATCCCTTCATGTATAAAATGCAACCCGTTAAGCAACGTGGTTATATTACATTTAAAATCAGGTAACAAAAATAAAAAGGCTTTCAAGCACTCACTGGCACACAATGCAACAACATGGTCATTCAAGACCTGCATGTGTACTCTTATCTCCTCCCTTTGCCTTCTTCCTTGACCTCTCCTCTAACGCCCTCCGTCCCTCCAACCCCTATTTGTCAAGCCTAACATCGATCGGGTTATGAATACCGTGTTGTCTAACAAACTAATGCATCATATTTTTGTGCTGTTTAATGAATAGGTTGACGTAGTCAGTCCATATCCCCTCTTCCGTGCAATTACTTGCCTCCCCTTCAGTTCATCCAAGAACTTAGCTTCACCATCATAACATTTCCACCTACATTTCCTAGTGCTCTGTTTAAACAAAAAAATTATATCATATATGTCCTAGCAAAAGAAACAAAATACAATTTCATGTTTATCACAAAAATAACCAACCTCATCATAGTCAACCATATGGCCGCAATAATGGCATATTCCAAGCTTCGAAGGGACTAGACCGTAGTTAGATTTAACACCACATTCGTACATGACGGAAGGTGCTTTGTAAATTAATATTTCTTTCTTCTTTTTCTTTGCCTTTGGTGGCTCCGGCCATTGATTCTTAGGACCATAGAGCCACTCATTGAAACGACACTTCGCAAATCCATAACGCTACAAGAGAATACATTAGTACATGCATACATATAGAGATAAACATTTAAACAACTACACTTTCCACTTACTTCGTGCTTGTTGGGACACACAACTCCAACATATTCTCAGGGCTTATCACAGCTCGATCTCCGCATTTGCCCAGAGGAGGTTTCTCGAGTCATCTAACTATGGCTAGGTGCTTCTCCTTAGCCGTCATTGACGGGGGTTAGGGGTGGAACCAACCGCTTCGAAGTGCTCATGTGGATGTCTCCCTCTACACCGATCATCGAAAAGGAGGTACCTAGGGTCAAACTTATGCTTGCACCGTCGATCCACTAAAAGAAAAGGCACCTCTCATGGGCCTACACAACAAGATTCTAATAAAATATTAGTAGCCTACTTACACAAATGAAGAAAAAAAAAGATAGTGAAAATAATTACTTATATTAAAACGACTACACATGTGTAGAAACAACGCGGCATGACGTATGCGGATGTCTCGATTGAAACACGTCGGCCGGGAAACCATAGTCACGATTATGGATAGGGAGGTCGGGAGGGGCCGGGGCATCTTTGCTAGACGCGTCGAGTATAATTCTCTAGGACGACCCGTTTTGCCAAAACTCCTCCCGATACATGTCTTGCATCTAACAAAATGGTTGTAATTTAACAAACAAAATCAAAACATCATAAATTAATGTCAATGAGAACCATTTGCATTACAACAAATAAAATATAACCTACACTTTGGTGCAAACTCTATCTTAGATGTAAACATGAAAACTATATAAAAACTATATTTTGGTCACTAAAAAATAAAATTTGGTACATCAACCGTGTATCCATATATTTATTAACATATAAAAGTTGAGATGCAAACTCAAACAAGCAAAATTCATATAAAATTGACCTTAGAATACATGGTAATCATAATTCTAACTAACCAATTAACCTTAACATTGGCAATCCTAATCCTAATCCTTCAATCCAACGTTCTAAAGAACTCATATTTTCCTCCATACCCTAACTACTCATTCAAATCATTCGATCCACCGTGGAGGATGAGGAGGAGCTTCATTACCTTGACAAGGCCGTGGAGGAGCTTGGGGAAGGTAGGGAGGGGGCGGCAAGGAGGGAAAGTCGTGGTGGCCGTGGGAAGCCGGGAGGCAATGGCGTGGGCGCCGCATGAGCATCACCTCGAGTCGAAAGTGCAGGCAGAGGAAGGAGCCAGCCGCCGCAATGGATAAGTAAAGCCTCGCCACGCCATGATCGATGGCGTGGCACCGCCACAACCATGATGCACGGCTCGTTAGCCCCGCCACGTCAGCGGTCGCCGCGGCCGTTGACCACCTATGTGCCGCCGCCATGCATGCATGCATGGCGGCAGCGTGAATTTGCCGCGCCATGTAAACAGGCGCTTCCAAAAGTATTACTTTTG